AATAAAATGTGAGGGATTTTCAAATTAAACCTGTCGTAATTGGAAGGGAAGGGAAGGTAGTTGGGGAGGGTGCGTCTGTCGTGTTCCGCTCTTATGTGAGAGCTCATCCCTCATCTGTAAAAATGTGCCTCTGGACCCCATTTAGGTCGTTCAGAAGAGACGCGCGGTGGCGGACTCCCTGAAGTCTGAATAGCAGGCTGCAGGGGTTCCACGAGGTGCCGGAGGATCTAGAGGTTGGCGTTGACGACCCCAGAGCAGCCTTCTTCAGGTGCGGGCGAGAGGATCTCAAAGATCTGGAGGAGCTTTTTGGCTGCCTTCCCAGCGAGTCTGCTTGAGAGTCGAGGATCAGGATCAGGAAAGGCCTGGCTGGAGGCTGAAGGTAGGCGATGACTTCGTGTCACGACACGGGCCGGGCGCTCGGCGGCGAGGCGGTGCAGGCCGAGGGCCGAGCTGTCTGGAGGAGGCCTTTGGGTATGAAGCAGGATCTTGCGGGTCTGGACCAGGTCTGGACGGCCGAGCATCAGGATCTGGAAGGCCTGGCTGGAGGTAGGCGATGACGTCGTGTCACGTCACGGGCCGGCCGCACGGCGGCGAGGCGGTGCAGGCCGAGCTGGCGGCCGCCGGGCTAGCCGCGCCGGGTAGGCGCAGGGCGTGCTGAGTGTCTGACTTGCTGACTGACCGGGCTGCCTGCCTGCCTGCCTGCCTGCCGGGCTGGCGCTGGCCGCCGCCTGGCGCACGGCCCCGGCTGGCTGGCGGCCTGGGCTGCCCGGCTGGCTGGGGCCTACAGCGTTGCCACTTTGCCACCTGAGCCGCGGCGCGCATAGCCAGCCGCGGTGGGGCTCACCGTGCCCCACACGCCCCGCCCCGCCCCACCCCGCCCCACCCCGCCCCGCGCTGAGCCACGACGGCGGTGGTGGGACGGCCGGACGGCCCGGTCGCCCGGTGTAACTTCTTACACCGATATGGCGATCGTAAATCGGTGTTATTCGCTGGACGGTCCGGTCCGTCCGGAGCAGCAAAAGCCGCGGCTACAATAGGACCCCCCCCCCCCCCCCCCGGGGGGGGGGGGGGGGGGGGCTCGGCACAACAGAGAGGGGAGGCTGGCTGACTCAGGAGGAGGGTCGGAGAGGAAAGCCCTTCGGGATGAGGACAGGTTTCGTGTGGCGTGGCGCAGGGATTGGAGGGGGGGGGGGGTATCTAGGCATCGACGACGATTGCCTAACCTGAGAAAAGGGGTGAGTGTACCCCAACAGTAAATGGGTATCGCGTATGTGCTTTAAAACAGCATTGCACAAGTCATGAACATTGAACTGTACTACATTCTTGTTAATTTCTATGGTGTCAATGTTTTCGGCTTTGACTTGTCAATTCAACGTTTTCCGTCTTTTTAAAATCGATCACAACAACCGAAATAGCGGCGCAATAACCTTTCCCTGGAGGCGGCTCTATGAGAACCCAGACCGGGCGTGACCCATTTCAGGGGACTCTATACGAAACCACTTTTCTTATCGTGAAGCCCACCTTTCTTTCTCTCTGATAAAGGTGTGCTGTGTGTTTCTACTTAAAAAAAGGAAAAAAACACGACTGAAATGTGTACTTAGGAATTAAGTGTACTATGTACAGTTAAAATTAGCTGTGCGTACAGGGTTGTCGCTGTGCATTGTGTCAAATCTTGTGCGAAAGTAGAGAAAAGGTACAGAATTCTCGAACAGGATGTTGTACAGGATGCTTACAGATGTACTTGTATGTAGTGCCCATTAGGCTCCATGTTAAAAAATCCCTGTGCTCCGTACTTATACTGGGACCACGCTAGGAAAGAGCTTGGCGTTGCTGCAGCGGTGGCTCGCCGGCTCGCCTACCTGCTTCCGAGGGTCCATGCGACAGGGTGGGCGGGACCCGAGCAGGTCAATGAGTTGCGGCGGTAGCTGAGGAGGCAGTAGTTAAGAAGAGCTCCCATAAGCCAGGCTTGTTCCTAGTTTGGTCCCAGTTATAAAACACCGTACTTAGCAAGGATGAACGTGAAACGGGTTGACCATTAAAGTATTCGTCAACTTCCTGTGCTTATTTCAGACAGTGCCCGTCGGAGTAAATGAGTATACTAGCCCGCACGCATGGGTGCGAGCGGGTTTGCCTATCGTCCCTAGCCATGGCGCCTTACGGCCCCGTGAGAATAGGCAACCAGCCCGTATATGCATTTGCTACTTCTGCTAAGGTCTGTGTAAGGTCTAGTTCTTCACCAAAAAAATAAAAACTGAGTCCCTCAGTTAACGGCAGTTTTAATCTCTGTTAATTGGGATGACGGTGGTATACAGTTAAATCTTGTGCTCTATCCTGCTACAGCTTACGATGAATTTTAACAGTTTCGGACTGTACTTTCGTAACGCACACCGCAGGTTAGAGCACAAAACGAACTAACAGTGAAAAACTGTTATTAATGCTGTAGATTTCTTTATACATAGTGGCATCATACGTACCGAGTCTGAAGGCTGATACTCTCCAGTGTTGCGGGTTTGCATACCCAAGGGGCTATGCCCCGGCAGTATCGGGTAGGCAAACCCGCAACTCTGTGGTGCATTTCCTTCACAGACGGTACAGGTTGGCGGCGCACGGACACCTGACATTTTTATCCGAGACAATCGACGTGAACCGGTGTGAACGGTCCGATCCAGTCCTCCGCTGCAGTTTGGGCTATCGCAATGAGAGCGCCGTCTACACCGGCCGGCTCTCACGCCCCCGAGTGCAGTGTGTGCCTGTGTGGGTGTTTTGTGTTGACGAATGTATGGGATGGCCCGCCACAGCGCTCCTAGAATGAATTGGCGGAGCTGTCTTTGTCCGCCTTTTTATCTTTTCTTTTGGACTGTGGAAAGAGGGGGGGGGGATTGTTTGGGGAGGAGGGTGGCTCAGAGGCACTCAGAGGTGGAACCCCCATCCCCAGACTACACATCGGCTCACATCTATGCGGTCAGGACCTGTGCTGCTCCATTTATTTATTTTTTATCGTCATTTATTTTAGCCCTCCCCTGTAGGTACGATGAGTCATCGGCGATGTTGAAGGCGAAATCGTAGAAATAATAAAAAGAGTTGAATTATTCTGCTCTGTGCTGTAAGGGTGAGGTGGTCGTGGTTGCCCAGGGAGCGCGCTGGAAGAGGGGGGGGGGGGAGTCTCTCTAATCGCAGTCACCTTTACCTGAAGCATCATCCGACACTCTGTCTCCGACTGGTAATAAAGTACCGCCAAAGACAAGAAATAGAAAAATCATACTACAAAAATGCTTTTAAAGAAGTTCTAGAAACACTGTTCCTCTCCGTTCCTCTCTCAGGGAGCAAACCCGCGCGTTGCCCTCTGTCTCTTCTTTTCGTTATTTCTTCTCGTGGTCCACGTCGTTGCGGCCGTTCGCGGCGTGACGGGTGTGGCCAGCTTTGTGGGTGTCCTGCAGGTGTCCTGGAGGACCCTGCCCTGCGGCCTGACAGCAGGACTCAAAGGACCGGAGTTACTCGGCGCCCGTCCCGCCCCGGCCCCGCCCCTGTCCCGTTGCCTGCCCGAGCCGTGTCGTGCTCGATGGTCCGTTGCCCGGGTGCTCGTGTCCCCGCCGCGCCCCTGCAGTGTGTAGGAGTAGGAGCCGCCCCGCTCGCAGGTGTCCAGGAGGGTGTTCCGGGGGAATCAGGTGTATGTGGGGTGTGCTCAGGGTGTATGTATCAGGGCGATCAGGGGGAGTCTCGCGGGCCCCCAGGGTGTGCCTAGGAGGATGCTAGTGTCCCCCCGCGCCGCGGCAGCCTGGGTGTAGGAGTTGGAGCCCTCAGTCTCAGCGACGGCCGCCGCTCTACGGCGCCGTGGTGGTGGCGCCGCGCGGCGCCTGTCTAAAACGAGCCGAGAGGTCGCCGTGGTGCGGAGGGAAGGACTGCGCTTCGGCTCTGTGGCCGCCCCGCCGGCCCCGCCCCACGACGTCACTCCCTTCCCACCAACGCGTCTGCTTTCAGCTGGTGGAGTTGGCGTGGGTGGCGCCCGGGGGGTCGGAGCCGATGGCGGCGTCCTGGACACGGGTACCGCGTATACCGCGGGTACCTTGGTGGCGATGCGATGGCGGACCGTTCGGCCGGCCGGTCCGCCGGGCGTGGCGTGGCGTGGTGGTGCCGGGGAGGGCGGTGTGGAGGCGAGGCGAGGCCGCCGCGGCGAAGTTCAGCGGACGGCCTTCAAGCGGCGGCGTGGCTGCGGCAGGCTGCGCGCCACGCCCGCCGCGCCCCGCCGCGCCCCGCTACGCCGCTCCCCGCCGCTCCTCGCCGCGCCCCGCCACGCCACACCAGGCCTCGGCCCTTGTTGATGGTGTTCTCAACGAGAGGGAGAGAGGGAGGGAACTAAGAGAACTGAAAGAACGAGAATGTAAGAGCGCGCGCGAGTAAAAGAGAGAGATATAAATGCTGCCTGCTCGGTCTGGCCTGCCGTGTGGTGGCGCCCTTCTCCTCCTCTCCTCCTCTCCTCCTCCTCTCCTCCTCCTCTCCTCCTCTCCTCCTCTCCTCCTCCTCCGTCG